GATAATAAAGCCGGAGAAGAAAAATATCGGAAAAAGAGCGAAAAGTTGAGCTGTGAAGACTTCCACACGGCAGGGGAAGTCTTCACAGCTCAACTGCTCAATCACCGGCCAGTGTGATTCCATCACACTGGCCGGTGATGGAATCAGTGCTGGTGCGTATAACCCGTGATTTGCTTAGTTTCTAAAGCGACGAATACGCGCGCGCTCGGCTGTGGGGATCGCATGCTGGGCACTGGATTTGTAAACACCAGAAATCATTGTTGTTATAAACTGTCAAGATTATAGCAACATTCGTTTGTCGGGGACCTGTGTGACCTCGCTCTTCTACCCCTGACCACAAATTCGTAAATCTGCATCTCCCGTGTTGCTCTCCCCCTCGAATATCGAACACGCAACCGGAAAGGTCTTAACATTTCGCAATTCGAGAAGCCTTTTTTTTTTTTTTCTTCAAGAAGTGACTACTTTGACATTCGGGTTCGAAATAATTGTAAAACCATTTTGAACACATGTTCCGTCACATACGAAAGATATGTCCATAGTTATTTGCTATTTCGACATCGACCATCACATTAAAGCACTAGTGCGGCGTTTGACGTCAGGATAAATGAACATATTTTTTTTCCTTAATTTCTGCGTCATCATTTTTGAAAGTTGTAGTAATTAATATAATTTGTTCACGTCCCGTCAAAATAGCTTCATTGATATTTTGAAGTCCTTGGTCTTTGAGGAGCTTGAAGACACTGTTTGACCTGGCGCAGATGGCGTATAAAGTTACTCATTTTTTCCGTTCGCCGTGGTCTATTTTAACTATAGCACTGGACACACTAGATCTATCGGCTTCAAAGATCTACGTGTTTTCTGACACGAACAATTCTTCAATCGACTTCAGTCTTTACAATCCAATTTTCTAGAAAGTATTGAGCAACTAAACCACCATCTTACAATTCTAACCGACAAACACATCGCGTAATTTTAACTAAAAATAAATGATATTGACGGACAAGTGTTCCGTCATTTGTGCCAAGAATGCTTAATCATGAAACGTTCAGTTTCATGATTTATTTCACAGCATTCTCAAAAATAAAGAGCAGTAAATGAGTTATATTTAGCTAGCATAAATATTTGTGGCTGCTCCGTGCTTTTGAGTAAGCCAACGGCCCAAATTAACCCGCTATAGCTTGCACCGGTCACAGCGTTTCAATAAGACAATGCTCGCATTCATTTGCAATACTCTATTGGACCCCGAGTGGCATAATCTGGGCTCGTTTAAAGACACCCTCCAATGATATTCGAGCTTCTTTCTATGTTGTGTTATTTATACCTCTTTAGTGATTCGGTGAACTCAGTGAATAAAAACTAAAGCATAAAATAGTAGTGCATCATATTTTTAATAGAACATACGAGAACCCGGGACTGGACAAAGTTACCCAAAGAAGTATTAGCGATTACAAATACTGAGATACATGAAAGGGAAGGCTAAACGCGAGATGGGCTGAGGTAAATAGAGACGTATCCTCGACTGTTCCTTTTTTCTTCTACTTTGAAACTTCCTCTTTTCCTGCCTCAGTCTCAGGCTAACATCAGAATGGTAAATTTGTAGTTTATATCTCGGGAATTTTAGAGACACTTCCGTAGAAATGACATAACTGAGTCCTAGAACAGAGAGACTGGAACACAGATATTAAGTTCTACAAGTATGAAATATGTCACCAGGCACTATCCATTATTTAACACTCAAATACATACACCTTGTGGCAAATAGTATCTGTCTATTTGTCTCCAATGGCCATGTAGTACTTGTATTGTCCAAAACAATTCAAATAGTTCAAACAGCCAGAAACCGTCACAAGCAGTCATTAATGCAATATCATTATAAACAGAGAAGATAAAAATAAGGCTCGATGGTCCTCTTGACGCGTTGGACCTCTTGACGCGTTGGACCTCTTGACTCGATGGACCACTTGACGCCTTGGACCTCTTGACACAAATTGGACCTTTCGACTCGTTGGACCTCTTGACGCGTTGGACCTCTTGACTCGAATTGGACCTTTTGACTAGTTGGACCTCTTGACTAGGCTGTCACGTGGCTATTGGACCTCTTGACTCGTTGGACCTTTTGACTCGTTGGACCTCTTGACCATAAGCGGGGGGGGGGGGGGGGGGGGGGGAGGTGGGGCAAGCTATATCCGTTTTTTTTAGTGCCTTTGTTTTTTCTTTGCGATCGAAGACGGGGAGAGGAGGACACCAAGTGATTGTGTGCCTCTTCGAGAAGAGCGAGACGGTAAGTGCACAGACAATTATTAACAATGTCCTTCTTGGTTAAGTGACTACGACCATTTTCATAATGTCACAAAACAAGACAACGTTCCGTCTACTACAGAGCCTTCTGGTCTAGCCTAAAATCCACTAAAAGAGATGTGACAATATGTGAAGGTGTTACTGCCACAAACATCCTCGTTCGTTCCTGCACACTTATCTTCTCTTAGAAAACAGGATGTTTTGTTTTCTGCTTCTTTCACCTTATTTTAAAAGCTACTCAGTGCTGCCAGATTGGGCTATAATAGCCAAATTGGGATACATAGTTTTCTATAGGTGGCGTCGAAATTTCGTTGTTGGCTATGTGGCTATTTTGGGCTATTTCTAAGGATACTGCGAACGTTTGTCAAAACCTCAGGTTCGACGTCCAACTCTGAGATTTGACTAGTTAATATTCGAACTTCTTATCGGCTTCCTTTTTTTGTCCAGTCCAGAGGAGAGAGAGCAAGGAGAAATTGATTTCAAACTTCAATAAACTTGGGGGTTCTCACAATGCGCAGAGAAGCAATGCTTGCAGAGTTCAAGCGGTCTCGCCACAGCGCAGGGGAGCAAACCAAACAAATGGCACTATTACTACTACCACAGGCTCCTTGACCACAGGCCCGGTAGCGCATCTTCTACCAGAACCTAGACTGAACTCTCCAAAGGATGCTTTGGTGCCCATATTTGAGAATCCTTGGGCACCCAAGTTCCTAAGAATGAGAAGTCCACAGCTTACTGTATGATCATATCTCCCGAAATTCAAAATAAAGCTGTCTTTGTGTGTTCTGTATTTCTGAAAACCTAAAAGGAATGGTCAGTGCTGCACGGATTTTTATTCTTCCGAAACCTATTTTTGAAAAATTCCCAAGGGACATAATGTACACAAAATGTGGCGCATCTGAGGGTTGAAAAGGAGAATGCAACGTGTTTTGCATGTATGTGAAAATTCCCAATAAAAGGCTTTAAAGTAATTGTTTTAGTTTTGGCTATTTTGGCTATATATTTTTTTACGATTTTGGCTATATTTGGGCTATACTCCCCAGCGATTTGGCGGTTTTTTGTGGGGCTATCTGGCAACACTGAAGCTACTTACTTTTTTTGTAATACAACTTCCAGGGTTGTCCCAGTTTATTTGTCAATTTCAGCCAGGTTATCTGCATCTCAGTCACTCCTTCTGTGAGTCAGCCTTTTGCGAGCCCTTCGAAATGTTTTTTTTTCTCGATTACTTATATTTATATATTGTAAACTTTTTCTAATTCACCAATGTCTCAACCGAGAGACGACCTGTTCAGAACCAAAGGAAGAAGAATATCGATCCATATTATCACCCAATACATGCCGGTATTGTAAGATGTACATGAATAAATTTTTATTCTAGGTTTGGCTAGATGTATGACGACTTCCATAGCTTCGGGATTTCGACAGTGGAGAATTTGAGTAGATCGGTCCGATGACTCCGATAACGACACCCGATACTCCACCGCCGCCCTTGCGCATGCATCATATCGTTATCGGGAGTATCGGAGGTATCGCAAGGATCTACTAAAATTCTGAAATATCAGGCAACGGCTGCAACGACGAAGCTTTGCTCTATCTTGGAGGTAAATAGTACTTCCATTGCTTCGCTGAAAAAGCTCAATGCAGAGCATAAAACATTCGTGAGGCACAGTATGGAACTCACATCCTCTTCACCGATATTGGGGATGCAAGCACTCGAACGTCCAGATGGTTTAAGCCGGCGAAACTGCCCATTGTGTTGGCGTATGTGTGTGCGTGTTAACGGTGAGAAGCGATGGTATGATGGCGGAGCCGCCGGGTACGAAAAAGAACGCCGCGCCGATAGTCCCCTGCAAGAGCATTCGCTGCACATACCGAACCGTACAAAAACATACACGCACACACACATGCTTCAGCATCTGTTTATCCCCCACTTTGGTTCCTCGCCCGACCCCTGAACACGCTTTCAAAAAACATGCCGCTAAAAAAAAAAATGTAATGGCCGGCTTTTGACCCCCCCTTCTAGACTTGAATGCAAAGACCGTGCGCGCCCCGTGCCCTTCATGAATGTAGCTGTGAAGCCCGAGCCCGGCCTGTGGCCCGCGGTCTGGACCGTAACAGTGCAGATCTCTCCCTGCGACGTCGACGGCTCACCCTCTGTTATGATTGGGCAGACATCGCCCCATCGCGGCGATCGCGACGGAGTTAGCGCAATTACACTCTTCTGCTGGAAGCGACTCGAATAAAACGGCCGGGGAAGCCTTCGCGCGCGCGGTTCGCGATCTCGGAGGTTATGGTTTTCGTCACATGCCGCGCGCGTTCGGCACCACAGGGCGCCCCCGTAGAAGGACGAGGTTTCCGCGTTGTCCGGTTAAAATATGACGCACTGATATTTGGTTACTCTCTTCGTGCCCGCTGGGTTGTCCGAACCACAAAAAAACGTGAAAACAGCAAAAAAAAAAAAAGAAATATACGTTTAAATAGGATTGCAGGACCCCCTTTAAGGTGACTCATATATTTCCACTATATTTTCTCCAAGAAAGGTTGCGGATCTTGTTTCACTCAACAAAAAATAATGTTTGACTTCATTTTGGTCAGATTTCTTGTGTAGCTTTTATTCTATTTTATGTCATCTATCTTAAATCACGCACGAGCTACCATTACTACATATATTTATTTGCATTCAGGTTAAATATTTGCGCCACTTTACTCTTTTAAGCACGAATAACATTTTCAGTACATTTGTCAGCGACAAGAAAACAGCCAACAAATTAATCACTGGGCTTTATCGCTGAGACCGCTCCGTCTCAGATAGGCATTCACGTAAAAATGAAAGAATAGAACGGTAATGACGACTAGCGGAAAAAGCCCAAGCACCATGTGGAACCTGGGATAGCCGCAGTCGATGAACAGCGGAAACAAGCCGTGGATGAATATGATGCCGAATTGTAGCAGTTGGAGCTGCGTCAAGTGTCGCTTCCACCAGAGGTACGGGCGAAAAACGGGACCCAGAAGAGACAGGAAGTAGTACGAGTGCATGACGACGTGAACGAAACTGTTGACGAAAATTCCTAAGGCAGGCTGTCCATCTGCACCGTAGGCGAGAGCATACCAGCCGCAGAAGAGCACTGCGCCGTGGTGGAAAACGTGAAGGAAGGAAACGTGCGAGTCCTTCTTTCGAAGTACAAAGAAGATGGTGTCCAGGAGGTCGGCCATTCTCACCCAGTGGTTCCACCAGCAAAGTTCCAGGTACTCCATCGTGACCTTGTCTCTAGCCTCGAAGTCGATGCCCTGGCAAATGATGTTGTAGCCACCTCCCAGGTAGGACCTGGATAAGAATTTGATGGCGTAGTAGGCATTGGCGACGATCATGAACAGGTTATGAAGGAGGATGAACGGCTTGAGGCCTTCGTACGGCTGGCGTCCTTTCATGAACCTGGGTCCTGCTATCTTGACTAGGTACACATAGCCGGCAACTAGTGTGACCAGGAAGGTCTTGTTGCCGACCAGCATCCACCCCTTGGTGCGGGGGTCACGCTGCGGGAGGATGTCGTAAAGGTCCCTGCCGAAGTCGGCAGAAGACATGATCAACTGCGCTTGTTCTTTCTCGAGCGGGAATGCATTTGCGAATACGCTGTATTAGGCACTCGGGCTGCGATGCGATCCAGCTGCGACGTCGCTTTTATTTTGTTAATAATAAAAGTAAAATACTCGGGCAAAAGTAACGGAAGCAGACGGTCATGGTTTGCAGGCTTTGTTGAAATCAAACACTGCATGTGTACTTTTCCGGTTGGGCAGACGCCATTGAAGCTTTCAACCACCTGCCGATGTCGAGTGTCATTTCATTCTTTGCATTCGTTCTTCATAGGCTCCGGGGATCTGCACAACGAAAGGAGAAATCAGCTAAAGGAAGACCAAAACGATATAACAAAGATAACCCGTGCTTGTAATGTCACACTTCTCTAGACCTTCTCCGCTCATCTTCTAACCTCCTTTTTGCCGGCACTTCCTGCACCAACCGCCACGATCGAACACCTGAGATGACACACAGGCTTCTACGAAGCATTCATTCACCGGTCGAAGACGCGTTCCGGCACTGTGGTCAAATGTATTACGAGACAGGAAACACTGAGTGATAACCACTGAATCGAGGAATATTATGCAACCACAAGGCACTCGTTTGGTGTCTTTTAAAATGGGGAATGAAGGAGTATGTAAGGAAACCGTATACTGCATGCTACTCCCTCACTGTTCTCATCCTCTACGCAGAAACAAAATCAAAACCTTTAGTTGTGACTTTTCACTACGGGAAACCGCAAGTTCAAGAAGTTTGTCCACGAGCGGAAAGCTCATCTAAAAAAAGGAGTAAAACCTTGCTAGCTCAACGGTCTGTTTCGCACAGCTTCAGTCATTTTAGGGCTACCTAGCTCATCCGCTGCAGATTAAAACATTGGTTATTATTGCTGTAGATTGCAGCGAGAGCTTATGTTCAAGGCATAAAAACTAGGCCGTATACTTTGTGGGGACTCCTGTGGTCTCCCTTCCTCTATGACTGTGCTAACGGCCGCGGGTCTAAACGCTCGGCCTCCTTCGCCGTGAGCTCCGACCTGTTCGTGAAGCGGAGGGTCCCCTGTCTCGGAGGGCCCCCTCTCACTCTCTCCCGAGGGGACCTCTTTCTGTTCCCCCGCTCGGATGCGGATCACTGTTGACAGGCTAGGAGGTTTTTCCTCTGGCTTTCCCGCTTCCGGGAGAGAGACTCGTCCGGTGACCGCGAAAGATATAGGACGTGTATCAGCGACCTATTTGATGCAAAAGGAGCCGGACGTCCATCCGTGTCCAAGACTGATGACGACATTTAGCGCGCACGTGAACAGATTATTTCGGATAGACGAGTGTATCATTGACAAATAGTCTGCGAATCAGTCAAGGCTCTGCCTAGGCAATGATTCATGAGAGGCTTGAAGTGGAAATGTTAAGGTTAAAATAATTTCTACATTCAGAGTGCCCATTATTTTTTTCAATCACTCTCGTACTAAGATTTACCTGCTGGCGTTGATAACTCTGGTAAGATGCTCAGGACCAGAGATGGCAATTTTTTTAAGTAATTAACATACATTACTGTTTACTTTTTGAAGCCTGCAAAAATGTAATTAAATTACATTACAAATTACCGCAGACCAAAAGTAATGACATTACATTAACATTACTTTCCCAAAGTAATGAAATTGCTTTGACATTACTTTTGAATACCTTGAGGCAGGAATTGGTGCTCAATTTATTTATCGCATATGTACCAAAACTCAGACCTTCCTGTTTACACCGCAACAGCCTTATGCGCCTCACGACGTGAGTGTTAAATATCACGAAGAGCTTTTCTAGATGTGACTCAAAGAAAGTCTACTTACCGGTTTCGCTGTTCATTCAACGGTGGAGGTCCTTACTAAACGGGTGCATGATTCCTTCTTCCTGATTTAAACGAAGTTATAGTCCGTGTCAGTCGGTTAAGTCGGGTCACTGGAGCTCGTTCTTACAAGGAGTCGTCACGTGAAACGTTTCCTTTCCGCCTCGGAGGCAGTATGATCACATCGTCCCAAGCGCACTAGTTAACGTATTCCCCGTCAATCCTCTCAATGAGTATTGTTCCCAAACACAGTTTTTGCGCAATGTCGCACAAGGGGGCTGGATAATTGCTAAGCACAAGCGTCGTCAGTTGAGGAAAGGAATGACGTGAGCTTCCTAAGTTGTGCATTTTACCGACAAACGGGTGGCGATATTAACTTGTAGGCTTATTCCCGAATAAACTTTCCAAGGGAAGGCAGCGATGCATACCGCGAGATGCACCTGCTTTGCTCGAGGATGCACCATACGTTCTGGGGCCTTGACAAGGCTTTTGGAATGAAGTATTTATTCCGGTTGTTCACAATGGTCGAAGCTTACGATTTGACCTTGCTTGACAAAAGAACAAGAAGTCTGAGGATCTGCTCGTCCTGTCCTCTCAGGTTTTAAAATGTCTTGACCTCACTGGTGATGTGCCCTTCGCCTTGTAGCCTACAAGCCGTCCACCATTAAGCTGACAGTGCGGTAAAAGTTACGTGCTCGTTCAAACAGTCACACGTCTATCTTTCTCCAAGTAACCCCGTTTTCGTTCATATACCCACGCGCAGAGAGGGGGACGGGTCAGGTGATTAAAGGGAGGTGCTTATAATTGGTTCTGGTTAGCTCGCAGCTCCTACCGCACTGCTAGCTTAGGGCTGAACGAAGTACAGTATCGTCGGGATCATGTGAATCCGTGAATGTCTCTTGCCTGGAATTCGTAAGCCGTGTCCTTCCAGCGACGTATACACGTAAGCTTTTTTCCTTGGCCTTTCCAGCCCTCCTTTGTGCGTCGGTTTAGTTCTTCGTACGAGGCTTCGCACTCAGGTTGCCGTCGTTTATTTTTCCTGGTGTCTCCTTCACAACATTTCACCATGCAAGCTAAATGTTTTCTTCTTTTCTTAAAGCCTGCAAACGAGCTTTTTTAATTTGGGACAAAGTAACTTCACAAGTAATGAGTAATTGTTGTCCAAATTACTGCCTTAAAGTAATTCATTACGTTACTATATTACTAGCCTAGAGAAGTAATTCATTACATTATTCAATACCACAAAAAGTAATTTAATTACTGTAATTTCATTACAGTCATGTCATTACTGCCATCATTGCTCAGTACATGTATATATAGTCTTTAAGAGGGTGTGCAAGACGCATAGCTAGTCACCCAGGGAGAGGGTATATTCGCCGTCTTGCAGGGATGGGTAATAAAGAAAGGTGAATGTAGGAATTAAAATGTGATGACGGGAGTGTAGTATTATACATATAAGTCAATTATGTGGTGGAAGCGACAGGTTCTAGCTTCCCCGCCGGTCTAAATCCCGGCTCGAGCGTGCGCTCCTCCTAAGAAGAGTTCCGATTTCTCCCAGACGATTAATATGACCTTTGGCTAGACTTCGAATGTTTAAAAAGTAAGGGATGGGCGCTTATTGGGGCGTGGGCGTGGGCTCGGTATTTTACCCTATCAAGCGCCGTGCAAGGATATTGCGACGCTCGTATAATCACTCAAGACCACGAGCTGATTAAATCCTATATCATTTAATGAAAATATATTAACTTTCCGTGTGGCAGGGGTACTAAACTTACTATTTGCAGTCAACTAATTTACTTCTCCCTATGGGCTGGAGCTTCCTTAGAACAAAATATAACTTAATTTGTATATAATAATAATATAACCTTAATACAGTTAAGATTCTTGTATAAACGCGGTAAACGCAGTACAATAACATCAGTATAAATAAACATATAAGCACAAACAACGCACTTTCAATGACCACACAAACTTGTTACTCGCCTTTCAGTAAAAAATAAAATCTTATCACGCATAATTTACAAATGTCGACGCAACAGCACAAGATAACGACGAAGAACAAGATTTCATTCTATCACAAAAAAAAAAAAAACTACTTCAGCATTTTACTCGCGTCCTACATGACCAAGAGAGCCCGTAAAGAAGTTGTTTCTCGCCTGTCGATCGTATCCATACGTCGCTGAATACCACGACGAAAACATTTGAACACGAACTCTAAGAAGTCTCTTTTTCGAGAGAGGTCTATCGATAATCGACAAGTGTCATCGTTGACTATTTGCCACGCACGTCACTCAAACCGTAGCGGGACTTGTTCCGCGAATTGACGTAAATGCCGTAATATCAAGCAAATACAAAAAAAAAAAAAAAAAAAAAAATATATTACTTGAGATTGCGGTGATGGCAGGAAAACTGCGGTAAAGAAACAAGTCTCAAAAGTGCCACACGCGAGATCAGCGGCGACGAAAGGCTTAACGTTGTCGATGACTGGATTTTCTTTCGGTTTCCTTCCCTTCTGAAATGTCTCAGCGTTCCTTTTCAGACGATCAGCAGCTCACACATAACGTAAATTTACAAGAATCGGAGCCCGTATGAGGGAAGAAAATGTCGCATTGTGCCGGTTCATTCAAAAAGGGTGGGGAGCTGCGGGACTGCCCGTTGTCTTGGGGTTAGGGGGAAAATCCTAAATATAAATTTGGTGCTTTCAACCTTGGTAACGCATTTCATATTACGTTTATATTATGTATATATATATATATATATATATATGTATTGTGCAAGACTGCGCTTTTAAAACGTATATTAATGGCGGATAAACGGGCAAGAACACCACCGACCCGCTCGACAAGAGAAAGAGAGAGAACATCTTTATTGAAAAGAATTTTTCCCTATGTCCAGGGCATTCTTTTGAAAGGAATCAGGGAAGCGCTGGGGTAGATGACCTTTCTAATCCTTCGGCCTCGATTACCCGTTTACATGGGCAATGAGCGCTTCGAAGAACTGTTCCACCCGATCGGGCGGAGGGGGGGGGGGGGGGGGGGGGAGGGCAGCAACTCCTGCCAGGAAGAGGGAGGGTTTGGGAGGGGAGGTGGACTAGGAGTGTAGTAACAGTACCAGTAGGTATGTGCAATGTTAAGATAGCCGCCACATTGGGGGCACTTGGGAGAGCCTCGTGCCTGGGTGTAGA